GCTGTCGGTTTTATACGGCAGTGGTCGAGCTTCGCTTTTACGGAACTAGCCTGTATAAAACGTACGGTACCCTGGCTCAGACCTGTAAATAATCGTTGAGTGTGTTGTTCTTTTGACCAGGTTTTCTTTTTGCGACATTTGGTCGCCGCACTGATAACATTGCTTTCGCGAGACCACGTGAAGATTGCAATTTTCTCTCTTTTTATACTAATCAAAGACCATCAGCGAATATGCGGCCGTTGCCTGAACATATTAACATAAGCTTTTGTTTTAATTTCAACAAACCGAAAGTTTTAACGGTTGTGGTTGTCACGGCTGCATTTCATGTTGATCTATTGTGCATGGTGTTTAGGCGTATTAAGTTCTCTTCTCATTGTTTTGTTCCACAGTTCCTTGTGATTAGAGATTCGTCGCCGTCCACAAATATCTGAGGCTTGTCTGACAAAACTTGAATATGCCGAAGTCATGACATCAAACTGAGACTTGTTAGATGTCACTACGACTTGATCGGTAGCTACAGTTTCGAGGTTGGGTCGTCATAAAATCAAGTCAGTAATCCATAGAAATGGTCAAAACGTGATATTCCAGGGGAATGTTACGATTAAAGTGCCGAAATTGCGATAACTGGGCTACTTCATGAGAACTTCTGACGACTGCCTGGAAATGTAGCATTCCAAAGTCTGACTCCGGGATTAAAACTGAAAGAAAAATTAAGGCAACGTTAGAAGGTCAAGATCGAAAGATTTGACGTTAACCTATGAGCACACGTCATGTGCTTTACATCGGACGGAGGACAGCTTGGAATTGATTACAAAGATGTTTATTTTCTAGGTGTACACAGTTTTAAATGCTACTGTTCTATTGCGCCGTTGTTCGTTTTAGTACCCCTGCATAGACTGCAAGGCTTAAATTGTTGATGTCGGTTTCTGCCACAGCTATGATACAGACTATCGTAATTATTTCCATTACGTTTGTTAACATTTGGCATTTTTGTAACACTGTTTTAACGTTTGTAACGACTGCTGTCATGTTCTCCTTTATGCTATTT